GAGGAGGATTCGAATCGGGAGCTTCCGACTCCTGGAGAGGAAGCAAAGGAAGACGAAAACATAGTATTTCAGACTCCGACGTCGTGAATCCGTTACGAGAGGATAGAGGAGAGGGAACGTAGGAATTGAAAGGAGGGAAAGTAGGAATTTCAGAATCCTAGTACGCTACCCTACAGGGGTTGAGCGAATAGAATTCGCAGGCCTACTTCCGGCTGCGAGCCAACCTATCAGATAGTCTGATTCTTACTACCAACCCTCCTACCCTTTCTTCTATCCCTCTTCGTCTTCTTGAAACAGGCGAGGCTCCTAGTCCTCCGAGTCTGAAATCTCGAACCCTCTAACAAAGTTGCGAATATAGAGTCCTTCGTAAGTACCTTCTCGATTCCCGAAGATGCTAGGCATAGTTCATCTTCTCGCAGTAGTGGGAGTAGAAAGGCCTCTAGAGTAATCCCATTATACTCTTTGACATTGCACTCGATAAGGGCAGCCATTATCTCAGGCCAGAGAGTCTGTTCGCGGCTCAGAGTATTCTCCCTCTCACAGAGCTTGTATGCCATCTTCGCGAGGTGCTTCTCCCCTTTCAAGCTCACTGATGGAAGGAAACCATTGGCGGAGTAGTTATAATTTTCTGGTATCAGCCAGGAGGGTCCAGGAAGACCACTTGAATAAGCCCTTTGGGCTGCGACATCCCAGGCAAGGATACTACGGCAGACTGCGCGCTCGATTGGGCTGAAAATCTCGTGTGGCAGTGGGAGTCGTACTTCTCTAACGCAGATCTAGGATTATTAGAAAATGGTCGGCAGGTGTGGTCGGCAGATGAGCTTACCTTTTTAGTCTCGCTGTCGACAATTTGTGAAATCTGCTTCATAGCTGCCTCGTCAGGGAGAACCAGACTCTCCAGAGCAACAAGTTTGTTCCAGAACTTCCGGATCGAGCGATGCCATTGGTTATGAGCAGTCGCAAAAGTGGAAGAGGCTGCCTGAAAGGCAAAAGTTCCAACAGAGTTCGCTGTCTCCTTGTCAATCTCTTTTGATGACAAAGGATTGAGAATCGTTTCTTGAGGAAGGCATTCGTTGCCAAGGCCCCCAAGTGCTTTATCGCATCGTTCACCAAGGGTGAGGGTATCCCATTCCCACTCAACCTGATCCTCCTTTTGAAATGTTATCTTTGATTTGCTTTCACTATCTCCAAGCTCAAGGAACCAGTCAGCTTCATCGATTTCGGCCTGTTCGTCGGGTGAGAGAGCTGGATCAGTCTCTGCTTGCTTCTTAGCACTAGAGAAGTTAGCCTTTGACAGGAAGTAGGAATACCGACCGCAGATGCCGACCATAGACGCCGACCACGAAACTTACGCTTTCCGGTCATATTCTGCTGTATGCATCGATCTCCATTCCTCAACCAGGGCAGCTTGACGGTCCCTACTCAGCTCGCTAAACTCGCTAGACTGCTTGATCTGAGCCTTCTTGAACCGTGCGAACGATTCATTGCGAGCCTTTCTGTGTCGATCCTGAGCTCTCTTCTCTTCGTCCATGGCGGCAGTACGCTCGCGCTCCCGTAGGGTATTCGGCTTCAGAGAGTATTCTTCAAGTGACTTCGCAGCTGCCCCGAGCCTGGCACGCTTATTTTCCAGCGCCTCTGGCGTGACATTCTTCCGTTTCGGCATAGTGGTATCGGTACGGAGGTAGGTGCGGACGTAGGTAGGGATGTAGGTGCGGAGGTAGGTGCGGTGGTGCGTGCGGTGGTACGTGCGGAGGTGGATGCGTAGGGTAGAAGCGCTTTGAGAAATAAAATTTCTCTTATCTGAGAGATTTAAGGTTTAGGCAGCAGCCGGAACCCTGTCCCGTGACCCCGAGCACCGACACCACCCTCCATAACAACATCACACTTCCGCGCCTATACTAAGCTCCTCTGCTACTACTATTATCGTCGATTTCCTAAGTGCCCCCCCCCCTACCTAAATTTTATTTCGAATATGAGTTGTTGTCGCTTCATTCGCCATTACTAGGACAACTGCTATAGGGTATCATATATAAATACTACATTATCTAGAGAAATAGTTAGACTACTAACTTCTCAAGGTATCGTAGTACTTTCTAGTAAAAAAGTGAAATCTCGTAGCTAGAGTAGAACGTGTTCGGCAGACGTGGTCGGCGTATAAACCATATGACATAATATGAAATATACTAGTGTAGATATATATAGAACCCCTGTCCTGATTACTAATTACCTTCCCGCGCGATCCGACATACTCGAGAGATAAGCGGCTTGGCGATTTCCGGGTCTTCCTTATA